ATTTCTTAAGGCAAGAAATTGTGAAATGCCCTATGTGAGTGTAACCTCTAAGGTTACACACATGACTTTAGTTAAGTATATAAAGGGCTATTTGTAGACACTTAGAGATTATCTTTGTACTTGCTCCTGTACTTAGGTTGACCTCTCCAATCCCAGGTCTTTGCCTGTTCTGTGTTCTTGAGTGAGGCTCTAGCCTTTACACTTTTTTTTAAACATTGTAAAATTTGAGGATTATCTCTCATCTACTGTCTTTCACTTGTGCCACCAGATTGTCAGCCTCCCCCCCCCAGCTTCCCCCCACATGTCTACTATCTCCTACACACCTACAGTACCCTATAGTAATACTCTAGTTAATCACAAACTTCACAAATGCTATACTGAATTCCTATTCACTCTTAAAGGCTTATAGGGAGAATATTACCACCTACTGGCCCACCTTCAATCTCCCAACAGACCCTCATCAGATTGGTCCTGAGATTCTAGGAGAACGTGTCAGGAAGATTGTATACAGTTGTGCTAGAGTTGTACACATTGTGCCTTATTGTGAGTCTTGTCAGTTGGCTACAAGTAAGATTCTGCTACTCAAATATATGCTTTCACTGTGCCACCCTCTCCCAGCAAACCCTTATCAGATTGGTCCCTGGATTCTAGGAGAAGGCATTAAGAAGAGTGTGTGTAGTTGTGCTAGAGTTATGTGTGTTACACATTATTGTGAGTCTGGTCAGCTGTCTACAATTAAGGTTCTACCACTCAAGAATATACTTTACTGTGCCACTTTAAGCAGATTATCTACAGACTTGCTCTTACTCATAACCTTTCTGCCACTCATTACAATCTCAAGCTAGTGTCTAGAAACAAGCTGTGGAAGCCCTCACTATCCTATTTCTCAAATTGTTCAAGGAGAACACTATCTTAGTACTGCTACTAAGATCAGGAGCTGCTATACAATTGCTCCACCAGAACACTGTTGAGAAACAAGCTGTAGAAGGACCTACTGTCCTAGTCCTAAAATTGTGTAAGGAAGTACTATCTTAATACTGTTACTAATATCTGGAACTGTAGTGTAATTCTCTTTAGGAGCTACAGGTTCCATGCTGACAGATAGTGTCTACTTTTAGTACAACAGACATTACAATTGAGCTGTCAACTATAGTGTATTTGTTGTATGCTTGTTGTACCTACTGTAACATGTATCTCTCTATTGTTAAGGTGTTTGTCAAGACTGTCTATTCCTTACTATGCTATCTCTTGCTCTGTCACTGTCTAGTGTCTACTGTCATTGTCTACTGTCTACTAAGGGTATAAAGTCCCTTTCCCTTCCCTTCTTGTTTCCTAGAGTATAAAGCCCCTTTTCTAGTTGTGGACCTAGTCAGGGTACTAAGCCCCTACTAGTGTCAATTCCAGTCCTGGATGTATAGGGCCTCTACTAGCATTACCTCCTGTTTCCTAGGGTATAAAGTCTCTTTTCTAGTTGTGGACCTAGTCAGGGTACTAAGCCCCTACTAGTGTCAATCCTAGTCCTAGACATCTAGAGCCTCTACTAGCATCACTTCCAGTCCTGGACCTAGCTAGAGTATCAAGCCCCTACTAGTGTCATTCCCAGTCACAGACCTAGCCAGGGATTATACCCTACTAGTGTTATCCAGTCCTTTCCTGTCCTGTCCTATCCTGTCCTGTCCTGTCCTGTCCTGTCTTGTCCTGTCCTGTCCCCCTCATAAACAGACCCCCTGTTGCCTCTACATACTCTGTTTTACCCACACACCACCTGTACTCTTATCACCCCCAGAATTAGTACATCAATTTTGTCAACCTGGCCCTTCTACTCCTCCTAACACTAATACATGCCTGAGGATAGCTGTTCACTTCTCAACCATACATTTTGATCATTTTTTTCCTCCCCCAAGCAACAGGTGCTAGTATAACTGAAGAGTTGTTGAGTTCTCTTTATCATACACTCTAACTTTCACACTCCTTTTTGCTCACACTACTAAAGAGATTAGATCACCTCTAACACTCAGCCTACTGTTAGTTAAACAAGACCTTCTCAGTTGTCTTCTCCTTATCTGTAGCAACACTGTACTCACTAGACCTGTTAGGTATTATTCATGTGTTCCTCACAGTACTGTTTAACATCTTGACCATGTGTTTTGGTTAATGTCTCAGTTGTCTTCTCCTTATCTGTAGTAACACTGTACTCACTAGACCTGTTGGGTATCATTCACACATTCCTGACAGTGTAGTTTCATGTCTCAACCATGTGTACTCCTTGTCCCTGTCCTTGTCTCTGTACGTTTTCATTAATGAGTCAAAGCCTTCCTAGGCTGGTTACTATGTGTTCCTCTTTAACAGCTTGCTTCAACTTGTATCCATCTTAGGGATACCATTTCCACCAACTCTGTTGAAAGTCCTTGTCCTCATACGTTTTCATTGACAAGTTGAAGCCTTCCTAGGCTGGTGACTATGTGTTCCCTCTTACTATACTTCCCTTGCCTCTTCATTAATCCTTCCCTACCTTTTGACAAGTTGAAGCCTTCTTAAACTTGTGACTGTGTGTTCCTTATTGTCTGTCCTTACCCTTTTGTATTTCACCTCCCCCCCCTTTACTATATCCTTTCCTTTGTCTCTCCATTAATCACTTCCCTACCCCCCCCTTTTATTTCTTCAGAGTAGGGAAGAGTGTAACCTCTAAGGTTACACACATGACTTTAGTTAAGTATATAAAGGGCTATTTGTAGACACTTAGAGATTATCTTTGTACTTGCTCCTGTACTTAGGTTGACCTCTCCAATCCCAGGTCTTTGCCTGTTCTGTGTTCTTGAGTGAGGCTCTAGCCTTTACAACAGGTTAAGATTTAGAGTGTTGGATGAGTTGATTCAGACTGTAAGCTAAACTATGTTTGAGTATGTATACTCTATAGTTTATCTATAGTGTCTAATAAAAGGTGTAGTAAACTGAGTTGTCAATTGTAAGGTGTATCTCTAAAACATTCTAGCTTGAAAAGTGAAGGTGAAGTAGAAGGTAGACAGACTCAGCTGAGTAGAGAGTAGAGAGCTACTACTTCTGTTCAAAATAGTGTTATACACAGTACTAAGGAAAGTAAACATACACAGTATAGACCTATTAGGAGTGATACTAAGTATAGAACAGGTGAGGAAGAACATACACATTAGGTTAGAGAGAGGATTACACCTTTAGAGTAGTTGTATATAGACATTTTGCAAGTATGTGATTATTAATTGTTACTTGTACTATAGAGTAGGAAAAAGTATACAAATTATTAGCAAATTTGTTCAGTA